TCAAGCCCGCGTACTAGAGAGTAATTTTCACGAAGCTTGGTATGCATTCGCAAAAACTCGTTGTACCGCCGAGCGACGACCCAACCAGACGCGAAAGTCTCGTCAGGAGCGAGTTGCTGTACTTCAACAAGGTACCGCACGACAGACTTCCCTTCCTCCTCGCCGATGGTCGAACTAACAATCGAAACCTTCGTTCTATGGGGGACGAGGCGGTTGGCAAACTCTTGTTGTTCGTACTGAGTCTTTTGGAAGTGCAGTTCCCTGAGCTCTCGAGTCATGGAAGACTTTGCTTTTTGAAGGAGACGAAGTTCTTGGGTGTCGCCTGTTAGTTCTGCCTTCTTAATGAGCGTATCGAGCATAGTTGCATGGGCCTCTAGCTTCGGTATTTTCTCGCCAAGACGGGCAATTTCATAAGAGAGCTGAAGGTCACCAGGTCCTGCCAGTTGAAACGACCCTTGGCCAGTAGTATCAGTGCTCTCCGTCCCGTCCTCTTCTTCGTCCTCTTCATCAACATTCGCATCGTCTTCCGCGTTTCCAAACATCCCATGTCGCTTTCTGTCACCGAAGATGGAAGTGCCAAGGTGATCCTCGTCCTCGTCACGATTAAGAGGTCGTTGAGAGTGCCGGTCTGTAGCGATGATGTCGGTCAGGGCAGCCTGGATAGCCTCCATCCGCTCAGATTCCTCAACACTGGGTCTTCCATCATCCGGGTCATCAAAAAGCGGTGCTCGCGAAGACTCCGAGGATGTATCAGACAAGGGAGCCATAAGAACGTCGATGTTGCTACGAGATGCAGTAGGTGGTGAGGTGATTGTTGGGGCTCGAGATCTGGAAGCGGGATGATCTGAAAAATGTGGGGCGAGTACGAGAGAAGGTAATGACTCAGAGCGCGGCATTTGGGTTCTAGACCGTGAGTGTACTCTAGATCTATCCGACTCTGCAGGTGATGAGGCGAACTGTGGCATCAGTGTCGAAGGTCGCGCCGCTCTGATGTTGCCCAACGAGGCGTCTTCGATCACTCGGAACCAGAGCCCAGATTTCTGGAAATCTTCAAAATCTCCTTCCATTTCCTGTTCCACCTCCCTCTGAGCCAACATGACACTCCGGCGGACTGTCTTATTCTCGATGCTGCTAGGTGTCACTTCATTGGAGGCGTAACTTCGAATGTTGTCGATATACTTCCGTGGGATCGAGGATAAGGAAGGGTGAGGAGGAGTAGCGGAGAAATACAAGTCGTTGATCATACAGATATCCTCTCTCAAAGTCGTTGAACTGGAGGGATCCTGAATCGGATCGTCCTCATCCCCAGAGCTCGAGTCCACCGATTCCAAGGGATTCTTGAAGCTTTCGACAGTAAGCCAAAATTGTACAAGCAACGAACGATGGCGACGGTCCATAAACTCCATGAAGTATGAGAGGGACGTCGGATTACTGAGCACATCTCGAAACGAGACTCCGGGTCTCGCGCTGGATTCGGGGGAGACAGTGGTCTGTGGGTTAGACTGTCAGTAAACACTAATCATGCGACCGAGTGGATCACGCCAACCGGATCTTGCCCACCGCCAAGGACAACGATTCGCTGTTCAACTGTGCGCTTTGCAGTGTATAATCTGTCCAAAAACGCCACAACATCTTCGGTCTTCTCTCCATTGATCCAATCTTCTTTCTCGTGATTTGCTACTTGGACTTCAATTACATGACTGTACACAGATGAGAGGATAATTTACCTAGTAATAGCCTTGTCCTGCGGATTTCGCCAATTACATCATTCTTGAGGCGACGCGCGTCTAATAGAGAGGAACAACGATTGATACTTCGAAGGAAAGATTCGAACTGACGGACATCAGTACGAATGGTGATTGTGTCTCCTCCAGGAGTGACGGTTGACGAGACACGGTGGTGACGTCGGGGAGATTGCGCTTCGAGAACATGTCGCACTTTAGATATAAGCTTTCTGCAAGGACTGAGTCGAGGGAGCCCACTTTATTCGGAAGATGGGACATACTGCTGATGAATCGCAGCTCCAGCCTACATTTGGGTTCAAGATATATATCAACTTCGATTACACTTGACACTCACCACCTGTTCGATCGTCCGATTCCAAAAGTCCGGATCTGTGACCATATCCATAATGGGGTAAAGTATGGCGCAGGCTACAATCTCTCGAACAACAATTCTGAGCGCCTTACTGTGGGCCTCTTTCTCAGGAAGGATGTGAGGGAGGATTCGGTCTGTTATCGCCCTGAGGTGCATCTCCTCATTTTGTTTCGTGAATGTAGATGAAAGATTGTCTACAGCTGGATGCAACCTTCCACCCTTTCCCGCATATCTGCTAGCCAACAGCATGTCGAGCTCTTCCGACTGGGTGAGGTGACGTTCCAGGGCGCACCGCGGAGAGCGACCTCTGATTGACGGAACTGCTCAATATGCGAGGTGACCTTGGGGAGTATACGTTTGACAAGCAGAGAAGGAACATCGATAGTCGCGGCGCGCTGCAGAAGTTGTTCAAGTGAGTCATGAAGAGTTGTCGATACAGCGGTGGGAAACTGAGGGGGAGGACGAGATATCCGTGTACCAGGACAAAACGAAATCGCGAACAATGAAGATCATGATTTCATTAAGAGTGGAGGACACGACAGGCATGTCCGGACATAATGAAGGTAGTGACTGGGGGGATTTATGTGACCATTGTGAGCGAATGAGAACAGCCTGCCAAGCGGCAGGCGTTGAGAAGGCAAGTGGACGAGCTGCATGGGACAGCGGGTTTCTGCGTGGGAGTAGCTTTGAATCGAGTGCATGCGCAAACCAAATGCTCGCGAGGAGACACGAGACGGGAACTAGGACGGCGAAAAACGGCAGGAGGATAAGAAGGGTGACTGGAGAGGCAACAACGCGAATGACCACTGGCAGAGACACAGCAAGGAGCCCGACAAAGAGTACTGTCCGAGTACTGATCGCAGGACCTCTTTCATAGCTTAAGTCGGAGCGTTGCATTACCGCTGGAAGTCGTCTTAAGCTCAGGTCATGGTGGTACCAACTTGGTGGACAAGTAGTCGTATATGTACTATACTACTGTACTAGTACTCCATTACCTTACCGTGGGAACTAGCTGACTATATAAGTACCACCCCGATGGTTGTGCTCATCGCGGTGGCCGAGCTGTAAACGTGTTATGCATGTAGTTAGTAGTAGCCAAAATGAACGTTAATAAACGTTTGGACGCTGTCCAGAACCTACCAATCACCCGTGGCAACTGGGGCTGAGCCAGTCTAATTTGAAGACGTCCGAGTCTAGAAGACCATGAAGGTGTGCATCCGAGCATTTCGCTTCGGGTACATGCATAGCTCTCGCTGGCGCCTTGTTGACTTCCTCCCAACTTAGACTATGTCTTCCATCCAAGCCCCACTGCGGCCTCTCTCCACTTCAGAAGGTTTTCTCTGTGGTGGTCTCGCAGCATGTCTGGCAGTGAGTCACTAACCGCGTTTGATCTACGACTCGTTTTCTCATGCAAAACGTTGGCAGGTCACTGTGTCGAATCCTGCAGAAGTCGCAAAGACGCGTATGCAACTTCAGGGCGAGCTTGCAAAGGGTGGAGGCCCAAAGATCTACAAGAATCCCCTTGACGTGTTTGCAAAGACGTGGAGAAACGAAGGCATTCGTGGTCTACAAAGAGGTTTAGCTCCAGCAGTACGTTCGCCGCTTATTTCCGGCGTTTCTTTCTGACGTTCGGCTAGTATGCATATCAGGCAAGAATTATTATGTGTAATTGACTATTCATCTCCAATGAACGCACCCCCAGATTCTTCTGAATCGGATCGCGTTTAGGTAAGTCACGCGCTATTCAGAGGGTTTCTCAAGTTGAAACAGCTCGTCAGGATTCTATGAACCCTTTCGCCGAACCATAAACCGCGTTGTGGGGAAGCATGCAACCGAACAGATCCCTCTGAACATCCATAGCAGCAGGTGCGGCTAGTGGTGCGGTCGGCGCGGCCCTCGGAAACCCATTATTCCTCATCAAGGCTCGCATGCAGGTCAGTACTTCTTGATTAATACATAAAATAACTACTGACGACCGTAAAGGCGTATTCTCCATCACTGCCAGTGGGCACGCAACATCACTACAAGAGTTCTTTGCATGCCCTCTCGACGATTTTTAGAGCGGAGGGATTCCGAGGTCTAGTCCGTGGTATTGACGCTGCCATTCTCCGAACTGCAATGGGCTCCTCTGTACAACTACCGACATACAACTGGACCAAGTCTCAGCTCGTCACGCGTGACATTCTACCTGCCAACAGCATCTGGACATATTTAGCCAGTAGCTCGGTATCTGGTGTTTGTGTAGTATGTTTCACGTTGCTACATAACAACCGGCTCGATTGTTTGACTATATCGACAGTGCATAGTGATGCAACCAGCTGATACCGTGAGTATGTTGGTCCGTCTAGGCGTGTATCCCACTGACACCCACTAGGCTCTTACACGAGTGTACAACCAACCAACCGTACGCTTACCGAACGGTCGCTTGCAAGGTACTCTGTATAAGAATCCCATTGACTGTCTCTGGAAGACATTCAAGGCAGAAGGTGTATTCGGGTGGTATAAAGGCAAGTAACTCGGTTGTATCCTCTTGCAGTCGTTGACCATTTGTGCACCAGGTTCAACGGCGCATTTCCTTAGAATCGCTCCCCACACGTGAGTGCAACAAGAGGACGCCTTGGTTCCCGCTGACAGTATATCATAAGGATCATTACCCTGACCGCTAACGACATCATCCAAAGTCTCTACAAGGAGCTCGTGATCAAGAGATGGTCATAGCAGGGTGCACGCTCTTTCATCAGTGTAGATGATGTTTCCTCTTGGATCTAGAGCCTAGCATGTAGGATTCATACCAGATCTATTTACACATTATGTTTGGCAGGATAATACTAAGTTACTAACGGTGTTATCCTAACCATTTACGCGATCAGGAGGACTATGCATAAACTTCAAATTAGAGATATGAACCCGTGGCGCAGTGGTAGCGCGTGTGATTCCAGTGCTTACGTAATTGAATATCCACAAGGTCATCCGTTCAATCCGGGTCGGGTTCACTTTTTTTATGATTCCCCAATCACATGTTTCAGTAGCGAAAGTAGAGGAGTGTTTTGCTGACAGCTGCATTGTCTGATCGAAATTGTACCGACTTCCTGATGCATGTGGTGGGGGCTCTTGAGCGCAGCCAGATATAATCAGAATAATCACACTCCCCTGAGGTCGTACATCCAGTATCTGCATGACTTGAATTGGTACATAAGAGAGAACGAATTAGGGTATGGGTGTCCATTTAGAATTCTTCCTCGTGCTCAAATACACCTCTGAACCAGCGGAGCAATCCATCCACGCGGATGACTGTGTAGGCACTAAGTTTGTGACCTGACGAAACCATTATGTTTCGTCTTTGATTGGCGATGAATAATTTGCTCACAATGAATTGTTGACCTGATGCAAAGGGTCCTTCAGTCGAACCCTCAGTGACGGACATCCCAGGGACATCCCAAACTGTCACTTGCGCTTTTCGTTTCGACGGGTATTTCTGCGTGCGCGCATCTTTAACAAGAACTACGCAGAATGCCTTCACCTCACGTGGTGGACAAATAGACTGCAGACTAATTAGAACTTCGATGGAATTTTGACGAGCTTCATACCTCAAGTCCCTGCTCAATCTCTCTCGAAACTCCCTCCTGTTCCTGAACAGTCTTGTCCCGGATATGTCGGGCAAGCCAGTTGGCATCTTTACAACTGATCGAAGATATTATGCCCTTTGCTGCAGCGGGGTCCTCTTGCATGGTATCATACATGTCATAAATTTTGTCAGGAGGTCCGTCTATTCAAACATTGACTTGGATGATCTTCAAACCTGATAACTTCTTTACCTTCGTGTTCCGAGTTGAATTTCGGACCCGCGCGTTGCTCGAGGCGTTCTGCATAGTCAAGCATCATGCTCCTGCGTTTCTCGGCATCGGACCATAGCTTTGATGCGTGTAAATCTCGTTTTGCCTGCAGGTGGTTAGCAGATCCGGAGATGGAGTGCGCTTGTCGTACCTTCCATTGCATGCTCAACTTCGACTCTTCCTTTGCTTCACGCGGCCCTTCCCTTCTCTTCCGTCCATCTGCATCCTCAATGAACTCGATATATCCAACAGGGTATGCCTGCCCAATTGTCAGAACGTACAGTCTGGGAAAATACACGTCATACCTTTATTACTTCGAGCATCATTACAGCAACGTTACCCCCATCTGCTGACAAGCTATTCAGCGTCGCAAAAAACGGTCTGCGTTGAAAGCCAAGCTTTGCATGCCATGCCGCCATGTGAGACGAGTTTCCGGTCAACAACAGCACACTCGAATCGTAAGCTTCAAGGATTTCAGAACCTTCTTTCCGCTCCGAGGAGAGCTACGGATGCTTTAATTCAAGCCATCGTTTCCTTGGAATGTAAAGCTCACCTTGGCACCAGCGACGGCAATTTTCCTGCCAATTTTTATTTTGCCCTTCTTCACAGCTCGTGCAAGAGGCGCGTCGATGCGTGCACGTAACCTATACCAACCATCTGTAACTTCGAGTTTAGGGTGGGGTGGCAACGGAATGCCGTTTTCATCGCAACCACTGGAGGACCACGTAATGTTTGAGACACAGAGCACCATAGGTGATTCCGCCGATGCATCTCTGGTTGTTATTAACCGCAATGGCGGACGAGAGGAGCCATTGAGGTCACGTTCGTATCTGATGTAAAGTTTAATTTCACAGCTAGAGTTATCCGGGCTGGCTATTGCTGACCTGTACATCAATTGACGAATAACCTCTGGCCAGCACCATCGTTTCAAAGCAGGATCGTTTTCGCTTGTAGGATCAAGGGCAACCATACCAGCCAGTTTCCACAATACCAGCGGCCAATGATTCTCGACCCATGCCTTCGTGGCGAGCGAGCAGCCCTTTCTGTGCAGTTCTTCCAAAGCAGCCGCATGACCCAGGATGAGAGGCGGGGATGAGTCGGATGGTTCAGGCGGAGCGCGGGAGCGATTATTAAATGCGTAAAAGTGTGCTGTACGAGGGTCTATTTGATTGAGTTCCTTGACATTTCTGGATGTAGGTTGTCAGGACATATTTTACCACCCAAGGGGAAAACAGAGGCGAACATGCCCATATCTTCAAGTTCTTCAGCACCATACACCCGTGGGCGCAAGCCAGAAGTCGCGAGCGTTTGTCTCCCAGGAGGAGGAGCTGACAGTAAATGGGTTACGTGTCTGGAGGACAAAAGTTGTCGGCATGTCAGACGTACCGATATCAAAGATCCTCCTACCCCATATATCTTTTACCTTGCTCGGACATGGCGAGTGTGAGACCGATGGTGGATAGCTGCGGTTTGCGACGACGCCTTGACGGAGGGGCGTCGGAGTGTGCTTTGTGATCCGAAGTGTGGACGATCTCGGATCGCCAGGTTGTACAACTTTGAACGGCGTCACGAATTTAGGTCTCGTTGTACTGCCATGTCTAGGTGTGAATCCTAAAGGCTTTTGTGACATGACTTGATTCGCAACTGAGGATGGACGTAGAGGAGATAGTGGAGCTGGTGTTGATGATACCTGAGACGAGGCTGAGGTAAATAGCTGATGCATACGTGGAGGTGAGCTGGCGGTTGCGGTCGTTATTGGTTTAATTGGGGCATGATGGGGTGCTGCGATGACCATGGGCGATTTAAAAGGCTTGGGATACTTTCTCCCGCTCAAGCTTTGGAACGAGCTGCGTATACTGGTGGCTGGTGGGTCTACGTTCGCCGACCTGATGTGCGGAGCAGGGGTCGGTGTCTCAGGCACAAGAGTAGGCGAGAATACTCTGCTAACAGTAGAGAATGCGGGTGGTGGTGAAAGCAACGGAAGGTTAACAACGGAAGGAGCAGAATCCGCTGGGGTGGGCTGTGGGCTGGAAAGGTGCTCGTCGTCTTGCCACTTTCTCATCTTCTCTTCAGCTTCCCGAAGGGCCGCAGCTGACGGAAGTAAATATTCTTTTGGCTTTTCTCCACCAACAGACGGTCTCTGGAAAGCAGGTAATGTATCTCGCAGTGACGTCGCTGCGGTCTTGAACCCAACAAAAGTATTTGCGGAATCAGAGTTGAACCACGCTGAGTGATCGACTTCTGGAGGAGCATCGTCCGGTAGGTTGCTATCTTCCAAATCCTCACCCGCAGAGGAGGCACCTGCATGTTCATTGACTGCAGAAGCTGTCATAAACGACGCATATATGTGCTCTTTTCCTGAAGCATATAGAGTATCGCTCATCTGTCCTCCTCGAGTTGTACAGAAGGGGTTTTCCTCATCCATAGATAGGTCTTGCGGAGGTTCACGAAGGGACGTGCTGGGCTTGTAACGGGCTTTGCTTGGTCCCAAGTATGACGACCGCCTGGTACGATTTGGAACCGAGGAAGCCTGGGACAACTGAGCGTTCAAAGAATCAAAAGCATTGATATCCGCCTGGCTCAAATCTCCGACCTGATCGTCGAAAGTCGGTGAGGAGAGTCTCATCCTCTTTCTAGAAGGTGGAAGTGATTCTGGTTGCAATCATTCAGGTAAATCAAGTTCCGATGTAGGAAACAGTATACCTGGATGGAGGTCCATGTCTATTTCGCAGGGAGGGGTTGGATATTACTTTTCGAGTAGTGTCGAGGATCGAGATCAGTATTGAAGATAATTGAGGACGATATAATGGATCAAGCCAGGATTTCGAGGGGACTCAGAGACGTGTGTGAACGCGACGCGCACTCATCACATGACCTGTGATGCTTACGTCATGTCATGCTCAGACAGCGGCTCTCCTCGCAAACTAAAATAGTACAGTATTCTGTGGACTGAAAGTGCAGTCTTCTACATAGTCTCGACTCTCGATAGCCACCTCCACCACCTGAGGTATGTACACACTTACCTCATACGTTCGCCGGGTTGCTTACTCTGAGGATCATAGTCGTTGTTATTGTCATGTGCGACATGTTGCACTCCCTTGCGCAAGACCTTGTCGCTGTCAACCCCCGTTCGGACTCCATTCACGACTTCGAGCTTCAATGACCGAATCAGACTTCGCTGCCTGTACATGTTGTGCTGTTGCGAGATGTTTCCTGATCCAGACTTTGTGATGGTATGAATCGACCGAGATCTATGTCTCGATAGTCAGCTTTGCAGATCCGTGTCTTATAGCTAGTACATACAGTATGACAATGTATATACAGTCTGAGTCGCATTTCAACAAATGTTTTGAGCTAGAGATCAGTCGGGTGAATCCCGATTGTAACGACCGTTGGTTTGGCAGCAGGAACCGTACATTCCAGCATCCCTATAAACAGCTTTTCCAAATTCCATAGTGTCTCCTCTCAAAGGATTATCATTTTGCGGATTGGAACATCACGCTCGACGGAACTACTACGAGCTGCACTCGGGTCATTTCCAGCGAAACAAAAGTCGTATCCTTGTCCTTTACGTTCCCAAAACATTCGTCTATTCAGTTTCTGCGTCCCCTGCATCCCTCGCCGACCGCTCAGGTCCGGTCCTACCACCAACACTGTACCCATGAACGGCACAAGCAGTCACACCAACTCTCAATCCCAGCCAGCCGCTCGTATGGCCAAGCCACCTCCGACAGGTCCCGCACCTCCCGCACCCGTCCTGGCACCTCCCGTGCCGCCAAATCACGCGGCCCAGTCACCCACGACCAACAGGCCCCTTCCGCATCCTTCGGTTGTGAACGGCGCTCAGAAAGCTAAGAAGAAGAACGATACACCTGTGGATCCTGCCGCTATGTACGAGAGTCTCAAGAATCGTATTGCAGCCCTGGAGGAAGAAGAGGTTCTCGAAGAAGGAGGAAGAGCGACGATTCAGTGCGTTCCAACTCGCTCCCATCTCTCAAACTGTTGATGTTTCGTAGCTGAGGAGGCCGTCAAGTCTGTCAAAGGTATGGGAGAGAATGCCATACACGCCAGATACATCGAACTGGTATGTCGTATACTCTGACATCCTGAGCCTTCACACTTATCTCTGCCAACATAGTTCGGAGAGCTCAAGAAGCTCG